GCATGAGTTTACAAGCTGCTATTGTCATTTAGCTTATATTTACCACTTAAATGATTATATAGACATTGTCCATGGAATCTTCACCATATCATTCTTTTGTTCTCACTTGAAAAGTAACATTTGGCAGATGGTAGCCAGATCATTAAAGTGGTAGGTTTAACATAGTATAGAAATCATGTAATAAATGCATAAAGTTAAAATAGTATTAGATTGGGGGCGGATTGTTTCACTTAAACTATTAAATAACTGTTTAAGTTTGCTGCCAGGTTCGAGTGGTATGTACTTGTCTATTGTTGCCTGAAATTATCTTTCATTTCTTTTATGATAAGACTGTCTTTGTAAGTTTACCCTAGAAATCCATAGACATTTTTTTGGAAATTGAATTGTAAGTGCCTAGAATAACCAACTTTTGTTTTTAAACACACTTACATTGCTCTATAAATCTTAATCATATCAATCACAATATGGTAACGGGAAAAGGGTTTTTTTATTTATTAACCAATGAATTGATAAATTTCTTATTCACATCATGCTAAGGCAAAAAGAGGAAATTGGTTATTCTTTTGTCTTGCTTTTTATTGGGAATACTTATTTTCAAATGATTTGAATCCTTCAATTCATCAGTCTCATAACCATGAAAGGAAATGGAGATTGGTGGGAGAGATTAAAACATAAAGGACAGGAGTAGGGATAATAAAGGGAGGAAAAGTCACAGACATAGAAATATGGAAGTGGAAGTCAAATTAAGTTTTAATTGAGCACCTACTATGGGCCCAAAACATGGCTGACAATACCACTAAATATTTTAAGTTTAAATGAACGAACAACAAAACATATAAACATTTAATATTTCTTTGTAAAACATCATTCTGAATGAACCATTTAAATAGAAAATTTTATTTTTCATTCATGTTTTCACACTACTCAACATGTTAATTGGGTATCCACTATTACCAGCTACCTTACCAGGCACAGCAGATGACAGATGCACAAGGAGCAGTCTCCTAGGAGCTTTATCACATGTGTTCCTAAGCTGAAAAGGCCCTTCTTTGTACTTCTTGGTAGGTAGAGTATGTAGCTTAGTGGTTAAGTACAAGAATGTAGAAGTCAGAGGTATAGGTTCAAATTCCAGGTCAATATAATAATAGCTGCTGTGTGATTTAGGAAAAATAATCTCTCTGAACCTCACTCCCCTATTTGGAAAATAAGTACGATACTTACCTCATAAAGCTGTGAGGATTAGTAAGAATTATGTACTTAAAGCACTTAGAGTATAGAAAGTGTTAAATAAATGGATGCTGGGATTAAGTGAGAGCCCTAGGATTGATGGATCATGGGTTTCCAAATCTGGGATGCAGCTTCAAGTTCTTAACATCAAATATAACTCTACATGCTTCAGCTTCCTGGCATTCATCCTATCACTCCCAGTTTACTGAACCTCGGGTATCCAAGGATATTGTAGGGATTCTACAAGGATATGTTCCCCCAGAGGTTTTTGGTACCCTGCATCCTAGATGTTAATGCTAGGATACCTGCAGAGCACTGGCATTTATCACTGAGAAGCATTTGTTACAAAGGACATGGGGGTGGTGAGGAAATTTGAGGAACTGATCAAAATAGATTAATGGCAAAAAAAACACACAAAAACTGGAATTTTAATTCATGATAAAAACCCAGTTAAAATTAGGTACACCAAATTTCTTTATTTTCAACTATGTGTGCACATACACATTCAGGTTTTTTTCTTTTGGTACTGATTTAGCTTTTTGTTAACAATAATGACAAGTTTTATTTTTAAATATTATACCTGTTAACTGGTTTTGGGGGAATTTTGCAGAGATCTATTAAATATGTAAATTCCTTAACTACTGATGTAGAAGAAAAAGTATTGTTTAACCAGGGAAAAAGTTGCCAGTCACCACCAGCCTCTCTTCCTACTTTGTTAGAGTATGAAAGTTAGTATCTCAATTATTTACTTAGGCATCTTTGGCATGTTCTTAACAATTGTTCTGTTAGGCATTCTATTATAATTGAATTATTTTAATCCTTACTAATCTCACCTATAATTTTCAGATCTGTTGATTTTTATTCAATTTTTATATCCTGTTCATATATTTTTTAACTATAGTAGAACATGGTTTTTCATATCTATTATTTTTCCTAATTAGTGTCTTGACTGCTTTAGCAAACACTCTCCTTATTTTAACACTTTTAAAACTAGCCCCTCTGGAATCCTTTCTTCTAATTTAATAATTTTCATCTGTACTCAAACCGTTACTTTACACATTAAACATTAGCCATATACCTTTTTACTCACATGGGTCATTTCTCTGAATATTATTACTTTAAGAATATGAGAGAGATTTAAACAAATTTCTGAGTCTTGATCTACTGCTGCCTTGGTTGTGCTTTATTAATCTCTGAGATTCTTAGTCCTATTTACTAAAGAATTACAGAACACACTGCACTGTAATTGATGGCAAACTTGTTAACCATTCCTCCAGGTTTTCTTGCTGTTTAGAATAAAGGGGTCTTTAAGCATAAGGGTCTCACTGTGTTTATGAGACAGAAAGAGGAACTTGATTCCACTATATCCAGTGGAATTTCATTTTTCAGTAGAGGAACAGGCAGCTTTCACAACCTTGGTTCACTGCCTTCAAAGCCTGGGAGGGCAAATAGCAATAGCAGAGTTCCGGTTTCTAGCTCCACCCCAGGAAAGAGAGGAGGGAGGTGAAAGGAAACTACACGGGAGAAAAGTGTTGGATATTTTTCATTCTCCCTAATTTTAAAAGGCAAGTAGCCTTTAAGTGAAGTCTTCACCATAATAAGGAAAATGGTACACTCCCCTTAGAACACTATGCTGCCCTGTAGCTAGTTCCAGAACAAAAAGTTGTGTCCTGTGTAACATGAAACTAGGAAAAAACATTTTGAGGTGTGGCTTTCTAAAACTATGAACATCGCAGTCATGTAAAATTAGAGATTGTTTAATGTTTATATATTTGCTTGCTAATTGTTGGCTGTTAGTACATGTCAAAACACTAAATTAACCCCCTTCCTAATGGAATAAATAATCCATTCTTCTAAGAGTGGTAGTATTTAGAAAAAGTCCTATTTCTTTAATGATGGGAAAGCCATTGCAACAGAAATTTTGATGAGGGTCATGGAAAAAAGTAATCTCAAAGAAAATTATGTCCACTAAGATACTGTATACTGTAGCTTGGAAATTCGGTTTGAGTTTATCTTATCTCTTTATGCTACCCTCTGATGGTGTCTGGGTTAGAGTACTTTTATCAAGCAGTTCCTATCAGTCATATATATACCATATTTCGAGTTGCATTCCAGATTTAATTACTTAATAAACTGTTGTATCCTAGACTAGGATGAATCACTTTTCCTGCTTTTTCTGTTAACCATGTAGCTTTTTTAAAACTTCCTAACTTCTAATTTTTTTGTATTTCCTCCCCTTCCCATTATTTTGTTTTAATTCTATACCGACTCTTCTGCTATTCCCAAGTTAACACTGCAACATATCCCCACCAATCTCTGAGCTCACACTCTGCTCTAATAATTTCAACTAAATCTGTACTAGCCAATATGTCTCTCAGTTCTCCTGGCAACTTGTTATTTTATGCAAATTGTATATAAAAATATGATTTGCATATTTTAAAAATATGTGAAAAGGAGCAATACTATTAAATTATTGTTCATAATCACAAAATTATATTTTTAAACATAGGAGTTAAGTAAAGTCCTTTTCATAATGAAAAGGGTATTACATTTCAAGTAATTCACATTAAAAGGCAATTCTATTCAATAGATGTGTTTATTGGTGGGTCAGTTTTGTCAGTGTTTTAATTCGCATGTAATTGATGTAGACCCTATGTCAGCAACAACTAACAATACTACTTTAACTTAAAACTGATAAACTGTTTCCATGTATATGCTCTGTGATTTTATAGTCCTCAGATTTTATAGGCCTTTACAGAAAAAAATAAAGCATGGTGATAAACTGCAATTTGCTATAACACATTTTCTCCAAATCTTAGATAGTAGAAAATACAAGACATTTTTTTGTGCACTCTACTTTTATAGAACAACCAGATTTATAATTGATTTCTTTATTTTATTAGATTTTTCAGTATACATGGCAACTTTCTCAAATCTCAAAGTTCCGAAAGTATGTAATTTTAAAGGTAAAAAATCATTTTCCTTTAGATGTCATATTCCTAGAGAGCTATTAATGTCTATTTATAAACAAAAATAATTGATAAACTAACACACTTTATTTTAAATTAAAATATTTTTAATGAATACAAGATATATGTCTTTAATTAACTATCATAGTTAAATTTAATATCACAAAACAAAATGGCTTATCCCCACTAATTTTTCAAGTGGGGGAAAGTCATTGGGATTTACACTTAATATAAGTTTTAAATGTGATTATTAAATGATAATATTTTATCAAATATAGGAAATACTCATTTATAAGAATTTCCTCTGGTTCATCAATCTTTTTAGGCCAAGTTTGAGCCCATGTCAACCTTAAAGGTTAGATTCAGTGCACCTAACTTGCCTAATAAGCTTGTCAATTTAAGAATATGAATTTCATTGATAATAAAGGGGAATAAATAGTAGCTAACTCACGGTTCAACTGAAAAAAACAAAAAAGTTAAAAAGTGAATGGGGTAGTTTCAAATAATTACTTTAAAGTCATTTTTAAAATATAAGCAGGAATGGCCAATGATGTTGGGTTTAAATTTCACAGGATAACCTTCAAAAAAAAACACATAGAAATAGTGAAGTCATCACCTTATTGATAAAAAACTAAAGTTTAATAGTCATTGAAGGGGTAACAACCACTTGTAGTCTACATTTAAAAGTAATTTTAATCATAGCTAAGAAAAACTAAAAACAATAAATTCTATTAAGAAACAACAAAAATGATAAACATTTAATGCCTAAAATGTAGATACTTAAGATCCTAAACAAAAATATTAAAGGTAAAAGGGCCTTGAAATTTTTTTCGAACAATTCATCTTATAAAATCAATTTCTAAATAGCTCATATCCTTTGCTTTGGTGTTTTGTCTGCTATCAACTAAACATTAGTACAGTAGAAAAATCACTTAGGTTCTTTTCAAATGCTTGGCATTATAATGTGATCTCATATCTTTCCTCAAATTAAATTTTGCTCCACATATTCCACATGTATACAGGTGAACATCCATGTGCTGCTCCAACTGTTCATTATTTGGGAATATCTGAAAGCAGACCTGGCATATAGTCTCACCAGCAGATAAATGAGAAATCATATGCCGTACATGGTCATGTTTTCTGAAGTTTCCTTGATCACAAATGGAACAGACATACCTGGCCATGCCTTTGTGCATATCATTGTGCAGTCGCAACTGACGTTCTCTTAAAAATTGCTTTCCACATGTCTGACAAACAAACTGTTTTTCCTTAGTATGGACAGTATAGTGTTCCCTTAAGTGGCACCGCTGATAAAATCCTTTGCCACACAGATTACAAAAATGCTTTCGTCTGTGATCTCTTTCATTTTCTTCCATCATGGCACTCTTAAACATATCTTGATCTAGGCAGCTAGACATATGTTCAACCACTAGATTTTCGGTTTCAAAACGCTGGCCACAATTAGGACATCGAAAAGGACAGGCCGAATGTTTAAATAACTGCTTTTTTTGGATACTGTTTATCTGGTAATGATTGTCCCTAAAATCATCCAACATTTCAACAAACATATCTCTTATTTCAGACTGCTCATCAGGATTCTCTTCCATGTCCATTTTCTCCTCAGTATTTCCTAACCCGTTCATTGTCAGATCTTGGGGCTCTCCACATCTTTGAGCATGTTCCTGAAGCTGTCTACCCTTGACAAGTATTTGTCCACATTTACCACATGCACAGATATTTTCAATGTGTTTGGCTAAGTAATGAGATGACAGGTCCTCCTCAGTTATTGTGAGGCCACACAGCTCACAAGATGCATTTTCAGTATCCTCTTGTACCGGACTGCTATTGTTAGGGGGCCTCATATTTTCTAAACCACCTCTTTCATCAGCATTTATTGACATACGAGGTTTTAGAGTTTTCCTACCACTTTTTTTAATGCTGACATCTTCTTCAACATAGTATCTATAAAACGGTTCTTCAGGTTCATCTTCTAATTCATCATTGTCAGTGGATTCATTACAGTCTTTATCAGTAACTTTAATAATGTTAAAGTCTTTCAGTTCATCTGTAGGAATATCTTCTGGCTCCATCTTGATGATGATTCTTTTCCTCTCAGCAGCTCTGCTTTTTTCTTCATTGGCTATTTCAGACTCCACTGTGCTACTTTTTCTGCTTCCAGTGGTTGAAGTTGAATCATCAGCAGCCTGGCTTGTGTCTCCTCTGTATTTGTCCGTCTGTGCAGAAAATGTTTTAGAAGAATCCTTTTCACCAAATTCAGCTTTGATGTTACTGTCTTTTCCATCTCTCATATCGACTATTCTGTGGTAGGATCTTGAGTTTTGGTATGAATGTCTGTTAGTACAGGTTAGCACATGCTCATCTAATAATTTTTCACAACTAAAGCCAAATCCACAGCTATCACAAGTAAAACTCCGTCCAAAGCGTCGTGACACACGTTCTTTTGGAGTAGATAATTTGGACACGGAACTTTTTTTACATACTTCAAACAGTGGTTCAGGAAAACTACCTAATTGTAAAGACTCTTCATCAGGCTCTCTATTATGCGGTGTATTTACCGTTGAACTTGGCTCTGCACACCACCTGTTGGCTTCGTTGCCATTTCTAGCCACAGTATCTTCATACATTCTTACCCCAAATATCATTTTGCTGTTCTGTTTGCTGGAAGCAGAAGATGAACATTTTGAACTAGAACAATCTGCATCCTGTATGTCTTCTAAGCAGTCAGGAACATTGTACAGCTGTAGGTAGTTCATTGCCACTTTAAACTGCTCAAAACTGGATGGAGCTGTCATAATTTTTCCTAAATACATAAATTGCAAAATAAGATCAAAACACTCTGCACTAATTTTCATGTTGCTGAGATTCAGTTGTGCAGTACTATGCTGATGGTTCATGAAAAACATTCTAAAATAGGAGCTGCAGGCAGCTAGAACTGCTTTGTGTGCTTGAAAGTAAATGTCATCAATTGCAATACAACAGTCACAGAGAAAACCCCATTCTCTTTGGTTGTTTAGCTGCTGAAGGACGTAGCTGCTGTGGCTGGGCTTTGCCATCTTCTATAATTAGAGACCTATGTAAAACAAAAATATTAACGTCAGACAAGATATGAGAAAAGCACTTGGAAAAAAGTAATTTTTATCATGATTTGTGACTTTTGTGATATTGCTGTTATAATCAATATATGAATAGGGCCAGGCACAGTGGCTCACGAATGTAATCCTAGCACTTTGGGAGGATTACTTGAGCTCAGGAGTTCAAGACCAGCCTGAGCAAGAGCAAGACCCCGTTTCTACAAAAAGCAGAGAAATTAGTCAGTCACAGTGGCACATGCCTGTAGTCCCAGGTACTTGGGAAGCTGAGGCAGGAGGATCACTGGAGCCCAGGAGTTTGAGGTTGCAGTGGGCTCTGATGACACCACAGCACTCTAGCTGGGGCAACAAGAGATACCCTGTCTCAAAAGAAAAAAAAAGATATGAATAGCTTTCCATTCTAATGTAGTAAAACAACACTATTAATATATTCCTGAATCATTTTTTAAAATTTGAAGATGAAGATACTCAGCCATTTATTCAGATTTTTCATACTGAACAAAGGTATCAAAAGCAAAAACTATAATTTTGGTTTCATTACAACTCTTGGGGAAAAAATGTATACTAAATTTGAAAGGAAAAAGATATTAATTTAAAAGAATTTGAAGGATATGAACAATGACAGTAAATAAAATGGCAACTTAAATTGCAAGTTAATAACTAGATTATAGTGTACTAAAAACTTCTTAGATGATAAGGATGTATTTAGCTAATTTTTAAAGTGTAATAAAGGTATTTTGGTTGTGTTAAAGAAGAGTCCTTATCTTTTAGATATACATACTGAAGAATTTATAGATGAAATGATATATCTGAGATATGCTTCAAAATAAAGGGGTTGGGTGTGGGAGCTATAGATGATGTAAGATTGGCTGTGTGTTGATAACTATTGAAGCTAGGAGATAATTATAATTCTATTTTTGTCTATGTTTGAAATTTTCCATAGAAAAAAATTCTATTTAAA